AGAATAATCTTCCTCTTGAAGATGATCACTTGATGATTGAAACACGTGTCGAGGTGTTGAAAATAACGATTTGGTGTTGGGATAGAACTCCTGTAGGTACCTAATATTTAAAATAGATGTAAAAACTATAATCCGTCAAACCATAAAATACTACATTGGTGGATTGATGAACTCGATCATAAATTTGAGAACTTAGCTTTTGGTGTTATCATTAGTGGTGGCCACTGTTGCCGTCTGGTTTGCTTGTGTTTTGTCTTCAAAAAAAAAAAGAAAAATGAAATCCTTCATTTAAATCGCCAGTTAGTGGAGTCAGTATCCATTTTTATTTTGCCTAATCGAGTTGCGTAACTCGAGTTGAAATTCAAGTTACGTAAATTTTGACTCAAGTGAACGGCAGAGTTTATCCCGAGTTGGGACATCGCCAAGTTCAACTTTTCATACTACCAATATATGGCCACCAAGTCTTTGAATATGCCAAAGCAAGTTAAAATTGAAACTTCTTGATTAACTTTCGAATTTCTTTTGTGGTCGATATTTATAGCTATTTATAAATTTCCACATATATTATGTTGAAAAATTGGATCAATATGTCAGCTAGGAGAGTGAAGAGAATCGCTACATAGTATAAGACAAAGTCGCTTTTCGCTGTCTGTCCCTATGAATGCTTAGATCTTTAAAACTATTTAACGGGATTTATGAGTGATTCAAGAAGAGGAAGGTTTATATACATATAACATGCATAATATAGTAGAGAAACACTGTTAATTTTAGAGGTTTCTAATGTGATGTAAATAAACACAGTTTTTTGCGCTTGCATTGCAAACGCTGGCTGAACCCTTACGAGATAGATCAAAATAATGTGTTCACAAAATAGTATTGTATACCTCAAAAAGGACTAGAAAACAACTCTGCAATGGTATATGTCTATCTCTTAGGGATAACCCACAATAACCATTTTTTCCTTTTACTTTTTTACGAAGCGATTTTAGGCAATACAGAATTATTCCTCATCCAATTGAGTACCTTAAATACATTTTGCATTTATTATAGATCAATGTAGCACTACAGCATATATTTAAAATGAATATTTTCGAAGATATTACAGATTTAAAATGCAAGGACATAGCGGTTGCGGTGGTACCGGCCGGCGGCGCGTGCCTATAAATAGCGCATCGAAAGCCGCGCTTCGCCCTGTAGCACTTTATGATTAACAGCGATCGCACGCGTTTATACGTATATTAAGTATCAGTACAGCATTGCACCCGTACGGAGCCGGGGCGGAACGCTAGTTCAAAATAAACTATACTTTTCCTGACTCCTTCAGGTGTAGATATTGATATTGTGAACTAGAGACAAATACATTGTTTTGTCACCTTCTTTCTATCAAGATATAGAAATAAGGCGATAATTGCTTTCGGCTAGCTTTTTCAGGGCGGCAAGGGCGTAGGTCGTTACAAGGTGAAGGTTCTCAGAAATCCAATTTTTGACTGAGAATAAGCTTGATTTACCTTGATGTTACTTTGGACGCCATCTACAGTTTTTAAAGTGGTTTCAAACTCATTCTCAGACCCGTCTCTGTAGAAAGACTTTCTTGGGTGTCTGAAATCCCCAAAATGCAAATGATACAAATCAATTTGTTTTATTAGTTTAATTTGTTTGTTGGGATCACTTCATATGAAATAAAGTTTGCTACAATTTATTATGAAATACCAAAATTGAACACAGATGGGAACACTGTCCCTTTTTACATTTCAATACTTGAATAAAAATTACCGTATAGTTTCTTACCTAAGGATGAATGCATTCAAACCTTTTTTGTATTAAGAATAATTTCCATAAAGACTAGTTTAACTCCTTTTATCTGCCCAGTGATAAGAATGTGGTGGTAGCTTCCAGAGATCTTTAACGTGGAATTCAGGTCCGATGAAACTTATAGGTTTCCTTCCATTGTCATATGATTAAAAAAAAAAACACAAAACTCCTCAAAAAAAAACTTTCTTGCTTTGTCTTCCACTTTTTTATACATACTAATCTTCCTGTATACCAAACCTGTATACCAATTTTTCTATGTATACTATTTTTTCTGGCAGAACTCTTGACTTATTAATATGGAATTCACTATCTTATAAGGTTTTCAGAATCTTTTAATTGTTAACCTCACATGAGTTCTCAGCGGCGCCAGGACAGAAAATGGCCAAGCACTTCCGTCCTCTCCAATTCCAAAATTCTAATTTCAATAAAAAACATTTCCTATTTTCTAAAGGTTACCAACAATTTGGAACATAAATCCCAAACGAAAATTCGCGCTTGCGCTATGACCCATATTTTCCACTAAATGATCATCTGAGAATCCATGTTAATAAAACACAAACTAGACAAGTGTCTCTCAATTCTACCGCCTGATTTACTAAAAATAAAGAAGAAGAGAACAAAGCAGTGTCACTGTTATCGTTCTTTTCACATAACCAAAACAGGACTGGATTTATTTACAAATTAAATCAATAATAAAAGATACTTTTCGGTTGAACGCCGCATCAAAGATCTCGGTGAGCTGTGAAAATAAAAGTATTATACATCGAGAAATCACAATTTATGTATGTCTTCAATAACACAAATTTATATGGTTTACAAGTAATAATTGAATGGAAAAAAGGTACACTTTATTCTTCTTTGATGAAGAAAGTAACGATTACACAATTGTAAACGTTACAGTTTATCTCGGCAGTTATTAATGAGTGTTTATTTTTGTTGCCATTATATTGATTTTTCTAATGAATTGGAGAACATTCTGTCTATTATCTTTTCTCGATTTAAATATGACCGATTCAGAATCAAGTTGTAATTGTCAATGTCAATAGTATACGTTCTTCAATGCAGAGTTGCCAATCGTAGCGGAATTCCGCTACTGTGGCGGAATTTACTCAACGGTAGCGGCGTAGTGGATTTGGAGATAAAGTAGCGGTATTTTCCACAAATAACCAATATTGAAAAAAATGGAATAAGAGGCAGTGTACAGCACTCGAAGCTGACAGTTGACACTTAAATAATTGAATGCACAGTCAATACTTTATAGTCTTAGTAGCTGAGATAATTACATGATGATCGAGAAGAAGAATATTTTTGAATATTTCCATTCATATCATGAACCATATAACCTCCAATATCTTGAAACTTTAAGTCTCGACAGTCTCGAGAATTATAAATTATATGGAACAAATTACAGTGAAAATGATAGATAATTCATCTGATTGTAGCTCGAACGAAAGACCTACCGCAGTTGAAATTGACGAAAACGAGACATGTTCAAAAAAAATACTAAAAGTCTCACAAATAAACTTTTTCTCAACATTGGTTGCCTGATTCCAATTCGAAAGGATGGATTAGATCTGTCGCTAATGATCGTTCAAGAGCTCAGTGTACTATACGTACGTGAACGAATTGATATTTATTTTTAGTTTTCAAAATCATTATTTCAAGCTAAGAAATATTCAGTCGAGACGACAGCTTTGAAAAATTAACTGCTGTAAATTTTGAAAATTAGGTACCATCTACTGAGTTGCGCGGTTGAAAATTAGCATGATCCTGATTCCTGATACTAGTGAAAGTTCAGTTTCGTGATATTTGACCGGTACACAAACTACAAACTGAAGTTCTGTGGTATTTAATTTTGAATAGGGCGCATGCGTGAACTGATTTCGCCAGATATACAAGCGTAGCGGAATATAAAGCAGTGTAGCGGAATTTGGGTTCATGTGTAGCGACTTTATAGTTCATCCAGTTGGCAACACTGCTTCAATGTGACTTATGGGCAAAAATATCTCGATGCAATGACATCAATCATCATTATTTTCCACGAAAAAGTATACTTAAACTTGTAGTGGAAAATAATTTAAAAGATTGAAAAAGTATGTAGATTAACGAAAGTTCAGCCATTTTATATGTCTGATTAACCTTCAACAAACACGTTTCTCTTTACAAATATTTGCAATACTCTAACCTTACTTGTATAATACGTCGAAATTCACAAATGAAAAGCAAGCACAAAAATATAAATCAACGTAAAACATCGAAAAACCAAGTTTCAAAAAGTCGGAGAAGCTTATAGAATTTCTGCTAAAAAGTAAAAGCCCCTTTGAAAATCGTCATCATTCGAAAAAAATATTCACTCAACACCACAGATATATACTTCTCAACACCAAGATGGACATGTTGGTATACAACATAACTATCGAAAAGTATTTGCATAAACAACATAAACACAAGTTACTTCTCTAAAATCCTTGAATATTTACCAAGAAAAAAATCAATAAAAATAAACTACTTTAAAACAAAGGCTCAAAAACACTGGTTTGCAGATATAATTGAACATATTATAATCTAGATCCAATATAGATATCATTGTTTTGCACTTTCACCACCATGTCGCTGGCCCGCTGGCATTTATTTAATTTTGAATGGCCTATAGTGGTAACTGCTCTGGAATGATTATCATAACAATTTTGAATCTCTCACTAATTTGTCCCTTTGGTGGCAATATGTTCAACCTTTCCCATATTCACAGTCTATCGGAACTATAGACTGTTCACGTTAAGAAGAGAATTTTATATATCCAACATAACAACGTTAAAATTCCCACTGAAATGCGTTCAACAGCAATGAAACTAGTAACATTTCATTTTGTAAGTTGCTCAATTGATAGTAAAATTTCAGACGTTGCCGAATCGAAAAAAACTCGAAAACTGTCAGTATTTCTTTTCTTTTCAAAACTAAGCATTTCTTTTGATAAGACCTGCGTATATTTAATATGCCTAAAGCATTGTCTCAACAAATACTAAAAGAAAGTAAGGATAATAGCAATAAAACATATTAACAGTACAAAAAAAATGTTAAGTTCGAAATAGTGCACATGTTGGTATACCGTAACTTGTCATATTGTGACGTCATTCTCTTCTTAACGTGAACAACTACACCACCCATATTCATGATAGGCATTTCCTGTTTCATGAGGTGAAGTGAAGTTACTATTTATTTCTGCTTCACGTGTTGCTTTGAATGAAAGCATGTTCAATTGAGAAGTTAGTCTTTCCTATATTTGAGAAATGGAATTAAGATGTCTAAAAACCCATACGAGTACATTCATTGAAAGTGACTGGAATTGGTGAGATATGATTTTAGTATAATAATTACATTAGACATTATTTCGAAGATAATTGGTATTTTGCAATGCAAATGGTTTTTTCCTTATTCCATTTCAACTTATGTAACATATATTTAATAGTTTGTATTTTTTTAATGAATAATAATTCTCCAATAATTTTTTAATGTGTTACTAATATAGAAACACATTTTGAAGGTTATTCATATTACTATAAGGAAATATTGAAGTGGAACTTTTTTTGGCAAAATTGTACATTGTAGGATACTCACGGATTTTCGCGATTTTTTCTGGGTGATGGTAGGAATTTAAAACACTTTTTATTTTTTGTCAGACTCGATTAGTTTTCAAGATATAGGCCTGTCAAATTTAGTATGATGTCATATTTTACCTTTTTTAAGCAATAAACGATTGCAATTCACATATTTTTTTATTTAACACAACTTTTTCCATATCACCGCACCTTTTTCTATCCCTTTTCAATCACTTATTGCCGAGTTTCCGAGTAGAATGAAATTCCATAATTTGTCAGGTGCTCACAAATCACTTTTTGAAAATTACATTAAGTTTCACTAGTCAAAAATATGTTCCTTTTAAAATTCGGAGGTCAGGTTAAATGTTGAGGAAAGACAGTTTTTACAAAAGTTAATATTCGAATGTATTTTCCTTTTAGAATTAGGAGGTCAGGTTAGATGTTGAGGATACATATTTTTCAAAAAATTCTTGAGTAAGATTAGACTGAGTTATGTTGGTTGAGTTAGCACCTGATAAATTATGGAATTTCAATCTAATTTCAAGAAACTTGGCAATAAGTGAATGAAAAGGGATAGAAAAAAGTGCAATGATAAGGAAAAAGATGTGTTGAATAAAAAATATGTGAATTGCAATCATTTATTGCTTATAAAAAAGGTCGAACTTTGACAACTAATTGAGTCCGACAAAAAATAAAAAGTGTTCTGAATTCCTACCATTACTTGTATCATCCCAGAAAAAATCGCGAAAATCCATGAGTATCCCATAAAGTACAATTTTCCCCTCTTATTAGTGAATATAAAAATACATGCCCTTTGAATATAAAAAAAATCTTGTTATCCACATGGAGTAATTTATTTATCATTGGTTTAGACAGCAATTTATTTGCAGATCCTAATTAAGGTATGGCTACATTGTTCAAAAATCATCTGGTGTCTACTCTAGTACTCACATCTGATGCATATAATTATGATTAGGTTTGTTGCAAAATCAATAAGATTTTGTTATTTCTCAAATACATGATGAAACATGACGACGGTCTTCTGATACATATTTGAAGTCAATACGTCCTTCTGATATTTGAACTGAGCTCAATCTAAAAATATTGTATTTTTTTATGATTAATATTTTTTTGTTTGTCAATTCTAGTCATACCAGGAGAAATTATATTCCACCATAAATCTGGCGATAGTTTCAATGTATCCTCGATAGAAAATGATTGGTTAACATTATCACTTGTGGAGAAAGACAATTTAAGTGATGAAAAAGGTAAGTTCCTTTTTTATTTGTTGTTTTCTCTTTTGATGCGAGGCTTCAGGGTTGAAAAACTGTTTCAATAGTTTTTTTATTTAATCTTTACCTCGCCATAGAAAAGTAACAAATGTTATTTTTGATGATGATATTTCATTCATATCAAGTTACCATTTATTACAACATTTTCCAAATTATGAAATAAGCTGAAATTAAAATGAAAGGGTTATATTTTTAGGAGTGACTAATTGTTGGGAAAGAAAGTTTTTGGCTTTCTACTAATCCGTCTCAATACAAAAAAAAATGTGGGAACCTTCCAAAGAAAAGAAGGAAATTCCAAACATTCGTTATGGAATGAAATCAGATATCATTCACAGGAGTTCTACATTAAATGAATGGTAAAAAATTGCACTTACATGGAACACTGCCATACTCACTGGTAGACATCGATGTTTCGCCATAAGACATTTTCCTTAGTACTCTTCAGTACCAATCTGGATAACATTATAAAAAAAACACAATTCATTCATGAATTATGATTTTTATGTCACGGAATAAGTTTGATTTACTTATGTCATCGATGACATGAATGTCATTACCATGTCATCGGCGAAACATCAATGTCTACCTGTGAGGATGACAGTGTTCCATGTAAGTGTATTTTTTTACCATTCAATTAATGTAGAACTCTTGTGAATGATATCTGATTTTATTCCATAACGAATGTTTGAAATACAAACTGAGAAGAGAAAAGTGTCTTCTGTATAATTCAGTGTTCATATGGAAGTATTTGTTTCGAAATAATTTTTCTTTCGTGCAATTCAATGTTTATATGAAAGTAGCTGTTTCAGAAGGGCTTTTTCTTCCAGTTGGTGTCTGAAAGTTACTTCTTTGCATGATCTACACATCCATGTATAAAGTTACTTATTTTAAAATTGATTACTTCCTTCCTTTCTTTAGAAGGTTCCCACATTTTTTTTTGTATCGAGATGGAGTAGTAGAAAGCCAAAAACTTTCTCAAAAAAAAGTTGAAATCATTTTTAAGTGTAGAAATTAGTAATTTTTCGAAGAGTTTATGGATTGCGGTTTTATTATTTAGATTGTCAGTTAATCCTTTATCACTTTACAATTTATTTCCTAGAATTAGCGGTGAACTGGCGCATTGATAGTTCCCCCAACTTGGACCTAACATTTTTGTCGAAAATTCATCCAATTAAAGTTAGAATGATTCTGCAGCATCACATGGCTGACAGACTGTAAATAGCCATGATGCACTCTAGCTGGTTTGGGAGTTATTGAATTGCCTATCCAGAACATGACTAATGTAGTTGATGCTGTTGACACCAAAAAAACTAAAAAGTTCTTAGAATTTGAAACATGAAAGTAACTCATCAAAAATGTGTTTTCTTGAAAATTATTTTAACTGTAACAAGAATAAAACTCATTTGAATTCAACAGACTGATTGAATAACATTTCTATTTTTTTGTCATACCCAATATCTCATATAGTGTCCCAAAATTAAAGATACTGTCACATAATTTAAAGTCAGTTAGATATATCTTTATTGTCTAAAATGTAATACAATTTTTCGATAAAGGGTATCTTGTTTATAAATACATAAAATGTTGGAAATATATAAAATGTTTTTTTTAAGATTATTGTATTCACAAAAATACAGTGAAGATTAAAAATGACAGACAAACAATCAAAGATAAGACAAAATGTATAAACATGTTTACAGCTATAATATCCCAAGGACATTGATAACTAACGGAATAATTTTATCACAGTTTTCGAAAGCACGTTATTTGGTAACATCCCGACGCCGAAGGCGGAGGGATGTTACCTAAAATAACGTGCTTGAGGAAGTTGTGATAAAATTATGAGTTATTTATCAATGTTCGAGGGATATTCGGTGAGAAAATTTTTTGCAATTCGAACAAAATTATTTATTGAACACACAGTTATTAAAAGAACAATTCGTATAATGATATTCCGTTGATCTTGCTGTATTTGCCTCGGTTACTGCATAGGTGTTTCCACGCATACTATTGATTATTTGGTTATGATGTTCCTGATCAATATTCAAATAAGGTTTTATGGAATTTCCATTATTGTGCCCCGATATGAAAATGATCAACTAAGCAAGCAGCACCTTCACCACCTCTCCAAGCCAATTCCACCGCTGCTATGTGATAAAATTTGCGTAGGAGTCCTATAGGGGTATTTTCATCCCAAAAGTTTATAATTTTACTCATTTCATTTGAAGTTAATGGTACTGAGCTTGTTTTGCGTTTAGTGGGATCTGTTTTTAAATTTCTTCGTGCTGCGTCGCGTGCATTCCGCGCTTGTTTGAATGCAACACTTTTAAAGGGGTCTAGCATATTATACTCCTTGTAATACTTTTCTTGTAATAATTTGCTTGTTATATTCCGTACGGTTTTAACAGTAGCCTCCTTAAACTCTGTGCTATCCTTTTTTCTCATATTAATCGCCCAATCCTTGAGTATTAATGCAAGCTCTTCGAGAGTACGATTTCCATCCAATTCATATTTTCTGGCGTCACAAAAGTCCATAAATATTTTCCAAGTGTATTTTTTACTATTGACAGTATTTTTTGGTGTATTTTCTTCAATGATTTTGTCAATTGCCGCATCATTTTGAACACCAAAGCGAGGAAGTGACATTTTCGAAATAAATTGAATTACTGAAATGTCAAACAACTTTATTGTGTTGGTTGCTTAGCAATGTCATGACCTAAGTGATAACTACTACCCGTGAAAACTATCCATGGGTAGTTATCAGTGTAATGATGGTTTCATTGGTTATTTCGACACACATGACTAGAAATAGACAAATTTGATAGGATAATTTTTTTGGCAAAAAATTTTCAATAAAACAACACAGTTTTAAAATTACTTGACATGAATTGTAATGTATTTACATCGTGGTATACCGAAAGACTAGAATTTGTATGCAAAATTCTCTTCTCTCTGTAGAAGCACTTTCCCAAAACAAGGTTCTTTACTGATTTTCAAATTTTTTTAAGTTAATCATTTGATGTGATATGTTTTGGTAGATGATTATATATTTGTCTACTTCTATAGATTCTATAGATCTATGTGTATTATGGATTATTGATCCCCTGGCTGATATAATAAACTCCNGTCAAAGATGATGTGGGCAGTGAAAGGGCATGTTTTTCATCGCTACGCGTAGAGCTTTATGTATGGCTTTCAAACTTTTTTTTATATTTGTGAAGTAAGCAGACGGTCTTTAAAATAATATTTCAAATATTGTTAATATTTTATTTCTGCAGAAAAGTGGCCTACACAAGTCACACATCTTCAATTTGAATATTATTTTCAAAGCTCTTTTCTGGATAACGAATGTACTCTGCATCAAAATCTGGCTGCCTGAGCCCCAGAAAGGAATTCCATACTGGAGATGACTCTCCATAAGTGAATAGTATGCATTCATTTCTGCTGAAAATCCGAGTTCACCAAATATGACATTTATGGCAAAGCAACCAGAAGATAATTTATTTTAAAGCTGTAATTTGCATATCAAATTTTAAATTACTGTCAATGAATATACCAAGAAATTTATTTACAGGCTTACTTTCAATCATGTGTTCACCTAGTATTACTTGTTCTAAGTCCCACTTGAATGTTATCAGGTTTGTTTTAGAAACATAGCGATAGCATATTCGATTCACACCATTTTTTAATTTTTTCAAAATCTGAGTGGACAGACCAAGTCAACTCGGATGACAAATCTTCATTACTTTCAGATCTTGGAAAACGATTTGATACTGTTGATCACCTAATTCTTTTGAATATTTTTCATAATGCATTGAGATTCTGTTCAAAATTACATTCGTAGTCATTTGTATTATAGAGAACAGTTTGTATATGTTTGGGGAGTTAGTGGGTTGGAAAACTATTATGTGAAGTTCCAGAGGCTTTATTTGTGGAGTGATACTTTTTCTTGTATGAATAAATAGCTGATTAACATGTAGCAGAAAAAAAAGAAAGATATTGTCCATGATAGATCATTCATATATTCAGCAAATAGTTGAATTATCGATCATCATTCATATTTACCACGAAAACATATTCATCTTCAGTTCGAAGCAGTCTGTTAATTTTCATAATAAAAACTTCAAATTATTTATATGTAATCAAACCATGAACTTGGGCTCATAAATTAATATTCAGTGATTATCAGATTTCTGAAATCAATGCATATAATAAGTTAATATGTATAAATGAATTGTGAAGTAATAAGTGAGAGATAATGATTTCTAGAATATAAAATATACTGGCATTCCATGAAAGTCTTTAAAAATCTGAAATTTTCATGTCTCAAGGAAATTTCATTTGTAGGTCCTGACTTGAAAAATACCAGCAAGAACTCTGAACCCGATGAAGATATAGTACCTCAGGAACTGATAAATCACTATGTTTCAATGACTGATTACTTTATGAATATAGATAACGGAATGACTTATCACTGTGCCGAGTCATTGCCAGCAGTGGCGTCTACCCTAGGAAGTAATAACTGACATTTATTGAAAAATAGTACACTCTTCAGCTAGCGACATGCAGTGTAAAGTTAGGAAAACTGTTGGTACTGATTTACATGAACTGGCTCTGTTACTAGGATCTGAAGCAGCAAGTACGAACCTAATGCCTTCATTTGATGGTTTTATTAAGGATTAGGACGAAATTAGGATAGGCGTTTTGAAAAATTTAGCTCATTCTTTGAATTTGATCAATCCCACCAAAAGGAATGCTTACCTTCCGAGGTTGGCTAAATTTTTACAAACTGATAATGATTGGAATTGGATTTAGAGAGGAGTTGGCAAAACAATTATTGAATGATGTGAGGTTTTTCAAGCCTTCCGACTCTACTAAGTTCCAAGGAGTTATTGCAATTGATTTATTTTGCAATAAGGTAGCAACCGTAGGCGAAGCTGCAATATCGTTGGTGAGTAACTGTTTATTGAGGTTTTGAAATTTGAATATTGGCATATAATTAAAAAATGAGTTTGTACTTTGGAATAGAATAGAAGAGCCATTATGTTCATATCTAGATAAGCAAATGTTATAGAAAAAACATTGTTAAACATCGCTTACGATTTTCATTAAAGTACTTACTCTAACTTGTTCGATTGATGACCTATTTATTTTGTTCAGTTACTTTTAAATTACGGCATGCAAGCCAACGTTTTAATGTTACAACATTGTTATCCTTTACAGTTGCAAATTTTAGTTTTGCTCCAGGAACATCTTCTGTTAAAAAACATTCTTTTTTATTTGTACTTTACCATATGTTTACATGAGGATTAGGTTTAGGTGTTTGTCCCTACCGAACTACTAGCGCTGCTAGTGGGTGATTTTTCGTACAGGAAAAAGGTTCATTGACAGAGTCTTGTGGGACTCCGGATTTTGGAATGAATGTTGTGGATAGGAAGTTTCCCACTTGCACCCGGATTTTCCGGATCGTGAGGAAGAATGCTATCAGTCTTATGAAATGGTGAGGAAGGTTGAATTGGATTAGGTAGGCCGGCATGCCAGACCTTATCGAATGCTTTTTGGACACCTAGAAGTACGACGACTGTATCGTGTGGATGGTTGATGTGTTGTACAATGTGGGTGTGTGATTCGACGAATGCGTTTTGAGTGGAGTGTTCGGGGCGGAATCCGTGTTGGTGATTGGGGATGCGGTTGTGTTCGGTTAGGAATTCATTGAGTCCATTGTAAATGAGTCTTTCTGTAGGATTCAGGTTTGGTGGGACCTTTGTTTGCTTTGGGGATTATGATAGTGTTGGCTTCTTTTCACGCTGCGGGGGAATAGGCCAGGGTTAGGCAGGAGTTTAGGAGGTGTGGGATGATGATGTCTGGGAGGTTGCGTAGGGCTTTCCTGTTTATGTGGTCAGGCCCGGGGAAGGTGACTTTGCTGGTATGTATTGCTTTTATAAGGTTGCTGTTTGTGATTGGGGTTCTGAAGATGCAGTTTGGATCAATGGGAATAGGCTCGGATGGGGCCAAGGACATTGGTTACTTATAGTTGTGTTTGTCGTAGGTGTCTTTGGCCAAAGTCTGGATCGGTGGGTAGTTTGTATGTGTGTCCAAGTTCTTGTCTGAAGGTCTCTGCCTTTTCGTCAGGTCTGATTATGTAGTTGTTAATATTCAACTGGCTTGGTAGAAACCTCCAACATTCCCCCCAAAACCACTGCAGCCTTAGATGCAGCGGTAGTAAGCCTCGAGGAAAATATCGAAAAAGCTCGCTCGGCGGCTACCACGAATTACGAGGCATCACCGGGATCTTATCACGAATTCTTTCGACGGATTGAATCACTGATTAGAGAAAGAAGCCGTCTGAGAAGAACATATCAGAGGACTCTGTTTCCAGGAGACAGGGTCAGAGCGAATGCTTATGCCAATAAAGTGAAACGAGCTATCATTGACTTTAGAAACGAGAGTGGGAAGAAGATCTCGAGGGATACGAACCTGAGGATGGTTCTCTTTGGCGATTAGTCAAAAGTAAAAAGAATAAGAGACACTTTTGCACCCTTACATAGGGCACGGGTAGTCTGTTTTGCAACCGAGGATAAAGACACAGCTTTTGCAGATACTACGAAAAGTCCATTTAGGCTGAACATAAATAACGATGCCATCGATAGGGATATAAGAATCGAGGAAGAAGTGAAATACACTCTTCAGCTCGAAGACGAGAACCCCATCAGACCCGTCTCAGACGAAGAACTGAGCGGGCTTATCCGTGATAGTAAATACCAAACAGGGTATTGAAAACTGTACCAGAAAATCAGTCATGGCACTTAAGAACATTATCAACAGATGGTTAACGGAAAAACATATTTTAACAGTTCCTTGAGCCTCAGATACTTTTATTCCCTGAGATTATAATGATACCGAAAATGGGTCAAGACCTACGATTCCCTCAGAATTACAGACCAATTAGACTGTTAGGCTCCATGGTCAAGGTAGCCGAGAGAGTAGTCCTGCAAAGGTTGGACGAGGAGATCGGAGACAGACAACTGCTTCCGGACGAACAGACTTCAGTAGGGCACATTCTTACGAACTACAAGCCCCACGATTGGTTAAAAACGCAATCCAAGAGATGAACCAAAAGAGACACGTACACATACTTTTAAGAGTTTGAGTAGATCCATGAAGATGATAGCACAGTCTGCTATCGAAAGCGCTCGCATATAATAATTAGAAGTTATTGAAGCTTCAAATCCTTTTTGTGAACAAGTGTTAATATAGATAATAAATGAATGAATATAAAGGAAAACTAGTTGCATCAGTTAAAAAAAATTATATATCAAGTTAGTTTTATACTATTCCTCAATAGTAGGAACTAAATTTTCAGAAATCTTATTGCATTGAATCGAAAACATTGTTGTCAGGTTGTGATTCTATATATTTCATCATCTTCTATTTAAATCATACACACATAAATCAAAGTATAATTTCCGTATGCCACTGCAAGAGACATATTAAGGCAAAAATGTCACAGTCATTTCTGAGAATTTAGTGTCTACTATTTTGGAATTATAGTATACCTACATCATATCTGTATAAACTATTTCATATTAATTATTTTAATTATATCATCTGGGAGGAACAGGAGCTTTCTCTTGGGTGTTTTCCAGAGGTGTGGCTCCGGTCTCTAGTCTAAATTATAAATTATATTCTATTAGAACCATTACAAATATATCTCTGAAATAATTTCGAATTGTTTATACATTGACATGCACTTCTAATTCAATTCTGAAATATTGATTTTGACTGGGAAATATTTATACTGAAGGAGAATATTGATCTCATTTGCACAATCTAGCCAACAAGCACCTGTTGATTTGTAGCACCTCCAATTCATATTTTGATATATCAACGTTAGCTCAGGCCCCATGGACACTCCCACATATATGTATCAGTCAAAATTGGTGTTAGTACCATTGCTACTTAAGGGCCAATTTATACATCTTAGGTCTCCTTAATTTTATTTCCAAGAAAAAGTTCAACATGTGTTTCCATACAAGCATTTATTCATTGTTTCATGTCTTATAGAATATTCAGGTTAAGAAGAGAATGACGTCACAGAATGATAAGTTACGGCGTTGCCAACATGTGCACTATTTTGAGCTTTCAAATTCTTTTGTAATATTGATTTGTTTTTTTTTACTATCAACCTTAGTTGAAATACAAATTTATTGAGACTGTTTCGGCAATGCTTTAGGCATATTGAATATACGCAGATCTCATCAAAAGAAATGATTAGTTCTGAAAAGGAAAAGAAAGACTGACGGTTTCTGAGTTTTATTTCAACCTTGAGAGTTTTCAAATTTCAACTTTCAGGAATGAGATAAGTAGGACAGTGTCAATAATGCACATTAACACAAATAAGTACTTCTTCAACTAATCTAATACAACTACCATTTAATGAATTGATTGAATTCAGCTGACAATTGATGGTATTTGGAAAAAATATAATTTTTGTGGTAGTAGAGTTGATTATTATACAAAATTAGTCTGTAGAGCAATATTTGTTGAAATTTTCAAATCACACAATCATATTCCAATTGAATATTTTTGAGACGACAGACTAAAATGGACACAAAGACTGAGGAAGCACTGTGATGTATAAATCGGCCCTCATATATACAAAAGAATTGAATAAAAAGTACATTTTGTAATTTATAGGGGCTTTTAGTTGTAGCTTCACTATTGGTTGAAAGTGACAAATGTCATTTCACAACAACAAAATGTTCTTCAGTTCGATTATGAAAAAAAATATCTGTTGTCACACATCCTCTCTGAATTTTTTGGAGTTTCCACCACCAAAAAATACTGAATGAACCTGAGTATTTTGGAAAAAACTCAATAGTGCTTCGGAAATATAGTCTTATTCACATGCTTTAGAAAACTTTTATATTGTCACTAAGACTAGTAGTGAAAATTATGTACACATGGTTAAATAATCTTGTTTTTTAATGAATGATCAAGGGATCACTCAACATGATTATCATCAAAAATAATTTTTGCTAAAAAGTTTATTCTATACCTTTCAAAAGGATATGCTTAATAAAATGATTATAACATATACAAAACGAATATATAATGTAGATATTTTTGTATAAGGCAGACTATGATCATATCAATAGCTAAAATTGAACGTTCTTGTTAATGCAGCAGTAGCTCACTGTATCATTCTTCCAGAATATTTTGCGGATCCATCTAACGAACATCATGAGAGCCTCCAAATGGTGCTGAGCAGTTTAGCGCTAATTTTCTATAGCCTAGTTTTATTCCTGTTAACATTACCATTTTTTAGAGTGATTTGTACAAAGTTGTTTGCATTGTTTTCACGTTGTGATGATTCTACTTTTTCAATTTTATTTTATCTCCTCAAATTTATATGACTTGCTGTTTTTAACATACAATTATAATTCCTCAATTTGATACCTACTTTGTTGGAATTATTTCGCAAATTTGTCAATTGTAATATTGTAAGTTGTAAAATATGTAATAAAAGATTATATTTGTCTATATTTTATTTTTGTTTTACATGTACTTGAATATTTATTCTATGGTGGTGTAATGATATTTGTTACTTATTCCCATGGAGATACCATTCAAATAGTAGTTCATTAATGATAAAAACCTTTATTTCCCAAAAATTAATCTCCCTTTCAATTTAAAGTTATTTCAGGTTGAAATATTCATATACTGGAAAACAGTTTTTCAAAAATTTCAATGTGTTATTATTTACTCCGAGATGGTGTAATGAAAAAGTGAAATTATATGGAATTTGTTGGAAAATATGAATAACTAAAAAAATACCGAGGAAAATTGTACAATTGTTTTCAATTTCTGGTTATCTGTCTTGTCATTTTTGTCACTTGATCATGAATAACGAAGTTCATATTTTATTATATATTTAAAGACTTGATCAGTTTCAATCGATGATATTTTGGTCGATGTTTCCCTTGCGATACGGATCGCATGCGTAAGGGTGACATAATCCCTAACAACTCAAGAGAGGTGTAATTTGAACTGACAGACAGGACTTTGAGAAAAATACACGATAATAAATCCAGAGGGATCCAATAATAACTCATAAGCAACTTTCAATTCAAATGCGTTTATTAGTTCTATTCGTTTTTACATTTTGTTTTTATACTTATAGTTAGGTGTTGGCCTCTGTCATAGGATTTTCTCCTATTTAGGGGCGGGTAAATTACTACAAATAATTCTTTTACATGGTTACTTAATTCCAGGTTAGTATGTGGGTTAGTTAATATGATTCTAAGTAAGTGGGTGTCCGTATTCATGGCTGTGGTCGTCTTTGGGCTGGTTCGTTTTGGTTCTGTTTGTGTGAATTGAGTGCCCGGATGGTTGTCGTTGAGCTGGATTGTATGATTTCTTGTATTTTCAATTAATTTTCACCTCTCGCATAGGTGGTTGGCTTGTGGGTTGTTGGTATGTTGGCAGGGGCTTCGGGCCGCCCGCTATCTGACAGCCCGTGAGTATTCCTCCAGGATGACGGAGAATCGCTCTGGTAGTTTCTCCGCTGCTCCGAGTGGTCGTTCTGGGAGGAACAGGAGCTTTCTCTTGGGTGTTTTCCAGAGGTGTGGCTCCGGTCTCTAGTCTCCAGGGGACGTTAATCGCAGAGGTTGGTGCTGTTGATAGTTCTCTTGGGATACTTCTGCCGGAGCTCCTGCAAACGAGAGGGAATGGGTGTAATTGCTGTTTTGGTTATAATACTGATGGTGTTGTATAGGGATTCGTAGGGGTGTGTGTAGTGTAGGTTGGCAATGTTTCGTAGAATTTTCCTCTTTGTCATATATATGAAGTGGGTTAGTCTCTGGGTGTTGTAGATTACAGCTTTATAATCTAGGATTGGTCTTATGAACATTTTATTCGTATATAATAGAGTTTTTACAGCACATTCCCCGAACTTGCCCCTCAGAGCCTTTAGGAGATTCGCTCGTTTACGTACTTGAGCGTTTGCTGAATGTCAGTCTCCCAACTGAGGGTCCTCGTGAAGGTGACCCCCCCAAGTAGGACACTGCATCCTGCACCTGGAGTTGCTGTCCTTAAAGTATGAGGCGCAAGTTGTGGTCTTTGGTTTGAAGTAGGTGGGTGTGTGGGGCAGATGTGTAAAGTATGGTGTCATCAGCATATAGTGGTATTTTCTGTGTAGTAGGTGAGTCATGAACGAATATGAAGAATGAGCCTTTTTCCTGAGAATAGTACAGCGAACGTGTCACGAGAGGCATCACTAGTAGGGACAAACATAAACTACATATTCACATGTAAAACAGTGTTATTTACGTAATATTATTGTATTATTTAAAAATCTAAATCTGATATAAACATTTATTTTGTGCTAGTATAATGCCAACAAAGCATTGCTGTTTTGCGAATTGTACGTCGGATACTCGATATCCGGAAGAAAACGTGTTTTTTATACCATTTATAAAACCTCATATCAATGATTCTTTCCCAAAAATTCATTTATTATATTTAATTAAATTTATTTTATTGCCATCTATATTTGATTCATACTTCACTAGGAAATAAATCTGAAATTCATAATTATTTTAAATTTCTTTTATTAGAGTTTGAATCTTCCTCTACTCTTTTACTAGAGTCTGTATACTAACCTGTCTATTAATTCACTTTTTTTCCAGTTACTTTTAAATTACGGCATGCAAGCCAACGTTTTAATGTTACAACATTGTTATCCTTTACAGTTGCAAATTTTAGTTTTGCTCCAGGAACATCTTCTGTTAAAAAACATTCTTTTTTATTTGTACTTTACCATATGTTTACATGAGGATTAGGTTTAGGTGTTTGTCCCTACCGAACTACTAGCGCTGCTAGTGGGTGATTTTTCGTACAGGAAAAAGGTTCATTGACAGAGTCTTGTGGGACTCCGGATTTTGGAATGAATGTTGTGGATAGGAAGTTTCCCACTTGCACCCGGATTTTCCGGATCGTGAGGAAGAATGCTATCAGTCTTATGAAATGGTGAGGAAGGTTGAATTGGATTAGGTAGGCCGGCATGCCAGACCTTATCGAATGCTTTTTGGACACCTAGAAGTACGACGACTGTATCGTGTGGATGGTTGATGTGTTGTACAATGTGGGTGTGTGATTCGACGAATGCGTTTTGAGTGGAGTGTTCGGGGCGGAATCCGTGTTGGTGATTGGGGATGCGGTTGTGTTCGGTTAGGAATTCATTGAGTCCATTGTAAATGAGTCTTTCTGTAGGATTCAGGTTTGGTGGGACCTTTGTTTGCTTTGGGGATTATGATAGTGTTGGCTTCTTTTCACGCTGCGGGGGAATAGGCCAGGGTTAGGCAGGAGTTTAGGAGGTGTGGGATGATGATGTCTGGGAGGTTGCGTAGGGCTTTCCTGTTTATGTGGTCAGGCCCGGGGAAGGTGACTTTGCTGGTATGTATTGCTTTTATAAGGTTGCTGTTTGTGATTGGGGTTCTGAAGATGCAGTTTGGATCAATGGGAATAGGCTCGGATGGGGCCAAGGACATTGGTTACTTATAGTTGTGTTTGTCGTAGGTGTCTTTGGCCAAAGTCTGGATCGGTGGGTAGTTTGTATGTGTGTCCAAGTTCTTGTCTGAAGGTCTCTGCCTTTTCGTCAGGTCTGATTATGTAGTTGTTAATATTCAACTGGCTTGGTAGAAACCTCCAACATTCCCCCCAAAACCACTGCAGCCTTAGATGCAGCGGTAGTAAGCCTCGAGGAAAATATCGAAAAAGCTCGCTCGGCGGCTACCACGAATTACGAGGCATCACCGGGATCTTATCACGAATTCTTTCGACGGATTGAATCACTGATTAGAGAAAGAAGCCGTCTGAGAAGAACATATCAGAGGACTCTGTTTCCAGGAGACAGGGTCAGAGCGAATGCTTATGCCAATAAAGTGAAACGAGCTATCATTGACTTTAGAAACGAGAGTGGGAAGAAGATCTCGAGGGATACGAACCTGAGGATGGTTCTCTTTGGCGATTAGTCAAAAGTAAAAAGAATAAGAGACACTTTTGCACCCTTACATAGGGCACGGGTAGTCTGTTTTGCAACCGAGGATAAAGACACAGCTTTTGCAGATACTACGAAAAGTCCATTTAGGCTGAACATAAATAACGATGCCATCGATAGGGATATAAGAATCGAGGAAGAAGTGAAATACACTCTTCAGCTCGAAGACGAGAACCCCATCAGACCCGTCTCAGACGAAGAACTGAGCGGGCTTATCCGTGATAGTAAATACCAAACAGGGTATTGAAAACTGTACCAGAAAATCAGTCATGGCACTTAAGAACATTATCAACAGATGGTTAACGGAAAAACATATTTTAACAGTTCCTTGAGCCTCAGATACTTTTATTCCCTGAGATTATAATGATACCGAAAATGGGTCAAGACCTACGATTCCCTCAGAATTACAGACCAATTAGACTGTTAGGCTCCATGGTCAAGGTAGCCGAGAGAGTAGTCCTGCAAAGGTTGGACGAGGAGATCGGAGACAGACAACTGCTTCCGGACGAACAGACTTCAGTAGGGCACATTCTTACGAACTACAAGCCCCACGATTGGTTAAAAACGCAATCCAAGAGATGAACCAAAAGAGACACGTACACATACTTTTAAGAGTTTGAGTAGATCCATGAAGATGATAGCACAGTCTGCTATCGAAAGCGCTCGCATATAATAATTAGAAGTTATTGAAGCTTCAAATCCTTTTTGTGAACAAGTGTTAATATAGATAATAAATGAATGAATATAAAGGAAAACTAGTTGCATCAGTTAAAAAAAATTATATATCAAGTTAGTTTTATACTATTCCTCAATAGTAGGAACTAAATTTTCAGAAATCTTATTGCATTGAATCGAAAACATTGTTGTCAGGTTGTGATTCTATATATTTCATCATCTTCTATTTAAATCATACACACATAAATCAAAGTATAATTTCCGTATGCCACTGCAAGAGACATATTAAGGCAAAAATGTCACAGTCATTTCTGAGAATTTAGTGTCTACTATTTTGGAATTATAGTATACCTACATCATATCTGTATAAACTATTTCATATTAATTATTTTAATTATATCATTCTATTCATGTCATTTTATATATTCTGTTCAGATTTTTCACTCACTTCATTATATATTTCATGTTATACATTTATATTTACAGCTCTACTTGATTCATTCCATTGCGTATTCCAACTATTCTGTCGGTTGTATATTTTTTCACTCATTATTTTATTACAATATTTATATAAGCTGCAGTTATAGAGCCTGAACATATATAATGTTCACTGTTAAATGACTGGAAAACCCATGCGCAGCTCTAGAGTCCTCAATGGGTGCCCCTGACTCGTTTGGTTACATTTTATGGAAAAATATACATACGCAGATCCATGTAACAGAATTCGTTAATTACTTTTGTTTATTCGTTGAAAACAATAAATTTTTATCATCATTATTATTATTCTACATCTAATTTACCGTAAACTTG